GTATGTATGTATGTATGTATGTATGTATGTATGTATGTATGTATGTATGTATGTATGTTTCACATAAAAAAGAACTGAGATTCCAGCAATGAGAAAGGCTAATCTACAAAACCACAGAAAGGTTTCATGTCTTTATTGTTTAGAACCAGAGTTATCAAAGCTGAACAATTAGCTGTAAGCAGCACATTTTTTAAAACGACAGAAGTTTGCTTTTACAAAATAATAAACATTTCATGTACTCTTGAATGCTGATGAATTTCACCTCGTTCCTGTTGACAGCTCTGCGTTCCAAAGAAAGACAGGATGCTCGTAAGACAAAAGTGTGGCTTGCCGTGTTTACTTTTATTTATTTATTTATTTATTTATTTATTTATTTATTTATTTTTGTACAAAAGACAACATTTTTTTGTTAATTTCCTGACAGCTGTTTGTAATTTTAATGTTAGCATGAATTCGATGCAGATTTTGTGCCCAGCAGCTCAAGCACTGTAATCATGYGTCCTTCAAGTTGAAGTAGCCAGCAGGGGTTCCTGTTGTGTTTTCAATGAACAGCATAAGTGTGTTTAAGTTTCAGAGTAAAAGTTGGGCTTTTTTGTGTTGTTTGTTCCTGATATGGCACTCAACTCACTCGACCACGCTCAGGGATATTTTGGCGATGCCTGGAATGTGTTTGACGCCCTGGTAGTGATTGGCAGCATAGTTGACATTGTTCTCAGTGAGATTGATGTAAGTAAGTTCAGCTGCAGTCGGCCTCGCTGCTCTTTGACCTCTTCTCTCCGCTGACCTCCTAAACAGCTAAATCAATGGCAGGACTGTGATTTCTGACTTATAATCTGATCTTTTCCTGACTCTTGATCTCGATTTCTCTTCCCCCTGATCCTGCCATTCCACTTCTCCCTCTCCCTTTTAATTTTCCACACTTCTCTGATCAAATGTTGGACTCTTCATCGCTCTCCTTCTGTTCATCTTTTTTCATTCCTCTCCTGACCCTTGCATGTGAACTTCAACAGCACTATTTTGCTGATGCTTGGAACACATTTGATGCCTTAATAGTTGTTGGTAGCGTCGTGGATATAGCTATCACTGAAGTCAATGTAAGTATGACTTCTTCTTTTTCTGACTCTCAGGTTGAACTGAGTCCTTACAGGAAAGCCACGACTCCTTTTAATTAAAATATCTTCTAGTGGGAGCCACTGTTTAAAAATGAAAACTATAAAAAATCAGATTTTTTAAAATTTCATTTATACTTTTTAATTAGTAAAATAATTCCCATTGTTACACAATAATATATCCCTAATGGCTTTTTTGCAAAGCTTCAGTTTGACTTTCATTTATTTACTCTATTGATATATGAACTGCTTTTTCTACATGTTTACTTATCTTTGTGTTGTTTTGTTAGTTGCATGTCATGATAAAATGTATCAAAAATATGCTGACTGTGTGATTTTGACCACCACAGTGTGTAAAGCAGGAGTCACTCACGTTTCCCTGTGAAKTGAGTCCTGCATTCCGTTCAGAACAGGATTATTTTTTATGATGTGGTTTTCTAATTCTTACTTTTGTTCATTCTGTTCCCGTAGAAACTTGTAGAGGCAAGTATGGCAATGAAAAAAAACTACAAAAAACTGTTGCTTGTGTGTAACCTGTTGTTGATGTCAACTTTATCTTTGAAACCCCTTTACAGTTGATTAAAAACTTAATTTCTTGTTGAATAACTTATAGATTAGGGTGAAGATGGGTGATCAGGACAGCATAAATTAATTTTATTAAATTATTACTCAGAGATAAAAGTCACCTGTCTTAAAAATTCCTTTTAGGACTAAAAAAGTATTTTCTACACATTTACTGCAACTATTACGACTTTTATTTGCACAAAACTAAAAAAGATTAAGTATCTTCTTTGTGGTTTGGTGCTTGGTCAAACAAGAGTTTCAGCCCTTTACAGTAAAGCCTTAGTGACATATTTTTATGGAACATATAAGATTATAGGTTTTCCTGTCAGTAAGACAGAGTAACTCGGACCACCTGCTCAACCCGAGACTCTTTATCCCCACCCTGGGTGCTCTCTTACCTGAGCTGCAGTTCTGTTTTTCTGGAGTAATATTTACCATTTTCGGTGTTGTGTTTCAAAATGTGTCTGCATGAGTGTGTTAACATGCACTAACTTTTATGAATCATAAGATAATAGTGTTTTTTGGTTATTTGATGTTTTGCATGTGTGTTTTTCATGTATAGAGTGCAGTTTTTAGGTAGGATTGTATGCAGGGTGTATGAGTATGTGTGTGTGTGTTAAGTGTTGSGGACATGACATCGTTTTAGGTTTAATTTCTTATAAATACCTTTCATTTAATTCTGATTCATATTGCATGAATATCATTCAGACACTGTTCCATTTAACCCCAGTGTCTTGTGCTTGCCTTGTTCTTTGTCAGTTTTTGTGACTTTCTTTCAGGCATGAGTTGAACTGAGCTTTCTAAATGCATGTTGAGGTGTCAGAACGTCATCTCATTCCCTAACATCTTTTCCATGTTCGCCTCACACAGATGGCACTCGGCCACTCACCCCCTACCCCGCCGGTCAGTGTTTTCCATAGAGCCTTGTGAAGTTTGCACCCACTTTTTATTTTTATTTGTATTTTTTGGCTTGCCTTTCCTTTAAATCTTTACCTCCAGACAGAATGGCCCTGGAGCTCTGAGCTTGAAAATCCTACACAACATTAGGGGGTCATTTAAAGCTGAACGTTTAAGCTTTGACTTGAGACATCTCCAAATGTTCTCATTTACTCACCTTAAAGTTGTGTAGGCCACTGCAGCTTTGCATAAAGCTGATATAATGCATCAAGTATTCTGAGTTAAGTCATGTAACAGGCTGGTACCTAAAACTCCTGTTTCAGCTGTAGCCCTSAAAGTTAAAACTCTAAACGTCTTTTCATCAGGAGTTATTTAGAGTTATCAGCTAAATCTGAGACACTATTAGCAGATCAGAAGACYTAATAACAGCTGATTTAGTTCTTTTCCACTGAAGGTGGTTTAGATTCAGCTGAGTCTGAGGTTCTTTGATGATCTTGTGTTTGTGTCTCTGTGAGTGACCGTCTTTGTGTTTTGTTTTGTCTTCCTGTAGTGAGCTCTTAAAGCTCAGAATGGAGCACATGTGTAGTGCAGGTGTGTAGACTACAGTCAGGTGCATGAACTCCCACAGCAAATTAATCTCCTTTTTTTCCTTCTTTATCCCCCCTCCCCTTTTTTTTTAAATTTAGTTATATTCTGTCCTTGACGGATGGTTTCCTCCGTCCCCTTTCTGTCTTTCTCCTTCTTGTATCATTCTTCTGAATCGTTTGTTTCTCTTTGCACCGGACTGTGAGCSTGGCCCTGCTGTGGCAGTTTGATTGCAGGGCACCTCTGGTTTGCATGGTTTGCTGCTGTGCTGAGGTCACCACCGGCTCCTTGTCATTGACATGTTTTTGCGCGTGCGTGCCTTGCTTTTGGCAGCAATGTGGCGATGCCAAACGCATGCTCCATCAGCGCTGTGGCCAGGATTACCTAAAGAACCTCCTCCAGCTAATCCCAACTTTTAATTTGAAATCATCTCTGCTCACTCTGCACCTCATTCTGACAGTTTGTCATGCCGAGAGATCGGAATGAAGCCATATCTGTCTGGAGTTTTTTTCTGTTTTTTTCTGTTTTATTTTATTTTATTTTATTTTATTTGGTTTTCTGCATTGATATGTACAATATTACTCTTATCAACATTGATTTAAGCTCTTTCTTTAATTTCAAAGTCATTTTTATCAGTTTAGATACAGCAATATGATGTTTTTTGTTATTTTGCAACMGTTTTTTTTATCTGTTTTGTTTTCATTTGCAAATACTCAATGATTAAGGATCATATGATACAATTTAATGCTTACAGTGTGATGAATGTGAACCTGTGTGAACAACTCTGTTTTTGAATAGATCTGATARGCTCAGTCTTTTTTATTTATAGACTATGTTAAATGTAGTTTAAACCAAAGAAGAGTAAGCATCATACATCTGTATTTGATTTGCTTCCCGTTTAATCAACACTGTATGCTTTTTGTCTAGTAAGGTCATATTTAAAAAAGTTTTACCAGAAGCTGAAACTTTCAGGGTGTAAGAGTCCAGACTGTGTGAGAAAATCAGACAATTCTTTTATCACTTCATTGTTCTACAACATTTGCTGTTGGTTAGTGAACTCGTCATTAACTTTGTTTAAATGTCACCAAAGACATCTCATCATAAAATCCATTTAATCTCATAAATATTCACCGCTACACTGGGGGAGTGATAAAGTTGTATGTCAGTCTTTCGTGTTAAATAAGTCTCAATGTTTCGTCAGTCTGATGTCCCGTCATTGGGTTAGTTCAGAGTCTTTTTAAATGGGGTTCTATGGAAAGGTTGTGAACAGTTAATATCTAACCTGTCAGTGAAACTGAGTTTAAACCTGGCTTGGATTGATTTTGAGTTTGAGTTTGTTGCAGTTTTTTTTGAACAACTTCAGTCACCAAAAGATCTGTAAGGAATCAAAGTCAACCGCTTCAGATGTTTACCTCTATCTTGACCCTCAAAAATCCATAATTTTCACAAAAAATTGTAATACTCATACGCAATATGGGGTAGGGGTTGATAAGCGGACTGTCGGCCAGGGGGAAAGAATGAGGGGCAGAGCAAAGTATGAGGAGAGGTGGAGAACTTATTTCTAATAGCAGAGCGGGGTGACATATTGTTATTTGGTTTTATTTATTTATTGTTTTGTTTTGTTTGTTTGTTTTACATCCTACAAGCTCAGAGATAAGAAAAAAATTTGAAGCTGAGCTTCTGAAAAAAATCTGTGATTTCTCTATCTGTCTATATACCTGCAAAATGGTGGAAAATCCATCAGTTTATAAACTTTTACATCATTATCAATTACACAATTTTTACCATTAAATAATTATTTGCAAGAAGAAATGGAAGAAGCAGCTACCAGTAGCACTTCTATTTTTATTTTTCCATTATTGAACCAGGCAAATTCCATTGGGATCACAGATCCCTCTTGCAAGGACGGCCTGGGCCTGAAGGCACCCTATTGTTTTTAAAAAATATGTTCACAAAAACAACCTTGAAGTTTTTTGTATTTGGGGTTGTTTTAAGATGGCATCATTAGTCAATCCACTTCAGTCGTGGCCCCACGCAGACTAGCTGTATTTCTCCAAACTGGGGTTGTTTAAAAACCCTCCTACAGCAGGTAAGATAATAATTGCTCACAACCTTCTCACATAACCTTGCTTTAAAAGAGCTGAATTGCCCTTGTAGGTCCAGTATAACAATGTTAAGCTGTAAACCCATTCTGTGGTAGTTGTTAAGTATGTCTGTCAATACGCTGAGTTTGCGTAGATGTTAGCAGATGAATGTTTTTGTTTAAAGGAATATATGATATTTTTTGTTGTCAGTGAAAAATGTAGTGATTTTGTTTTGTCTATGTTGCTGACTGACGATTGTTAGCGTTATATGTCACAATAAATTTGAACCTAATAATATATGTGAGAGCTGCGGGCTCTGTGCAAGTCATTAATGCAGGTCTTTGATCTTAAAGCCAACGGAGACTCCTCAGGTGGATGAGATGGGGGTAAGATGTTCCAACCCACCCCCCTCCTGTTTGTTAGGGCTATGTTTGGGTTTGCTGGTTTCCATTTCATTTACGTTGTCATTTCCATCCTCTATACTGTCTTTTTTTCCCTTCTACATCTGTTCTGTTGGATCATTTGCATATCTCCTCAGAACATTTGCTGTTTATTTTTTCCTAAATGTCTGAAGTTATTTTGGAAGAAGAGTGTGCCGCTCAAACGTGACGCTTGTATCCTGTTAGGTGGGAGCGGTTTTTGAGCTGCTCTTCACGTTTGTTCTGTTGACACTGCTACATGGTCTCTGCCTCCCTGTCTGACGTGGGGTAGTGACCCATGGATGACCCCCTGGGATCAGGTCACCCAGCTCTGACCTGTGAACCTCCCGGCCGACCCGTTCGGGTTGGTCCCACTGTGACTCCGCATGCAGTAACTCTGGACTGAGGGCGCCATGCTTGAATAGATGTGTCCTGTCAAGTATGGCAAAGGTTTTTCTCCAGCATGCTTGCCTCCTTGCTTCCTCCTCTGTAGGTCTGTACAGAGACAGGGAATGTGGAAGCGCTTTGAAAGCAGACCAACAGAAACATATCGGCTACCGCTGCACTGCATAGGAAACTAGTTTTAGAATTTGCTTGAAATCTATAGTCTGAACATGCAAATGACAGGGATGTGGATAAAACCCTTCAAACTGATATGTCGTCTTTGTCGATGCAGTGCTGCTCTCTTTGCCCATATGTATCTGGTTTAAAGGTTTAAGATCATCCCACAAAGCACAGCCAGGTGCTTTGTGTTCACTTTATACACTGACGCTCCTCTGACTTACCCTGACTCAGGACTGTTTCCCCACAGAACACGGAGGACAGCGCTCGCATCTCCATCACCTTCTTTCGCTTGTTTCGAGTGATGCGGCTGGTCAAACTCCTCAGCAGAGGGGAGGGAATACGCACCTTGCTATGGACTTTCATCAAGTCCTTCCAGGTGAAGCGAAGTTTAATTAAATCAGGGGTGTCAAACTCAGTTACACAAGGGGGGCAAAAACCAAATGCCAATCTCCGTCAATATTTCTTGAAAAAATATTTGTTTTAAAGGGGATATGTCCTGCAAAATCCACTTTCTTAACCCTTAAATACATTTTTGTGTATAATTGGGGTCTCTAGGAATGCAGAGAAGTTGAATTTAGTCTCTATGATGTTTTCTGAACTGAACAGAAGTGGCGCCTTGTTTGCATTTAAAGAGACAGCCTTAAAACGAGTTGATCTGAAATAGGCAGGAGCTACAATAAGGAAGAATTCAGACCAAAGCATTGCAGTTCCACTTTATATAGACCCCAACTGAAGGATTTAAATGGGAAAAAGAAGGATTTAAAAGTATATGTCTCCTTTAAAGGTTAACACATTGTTCTTATAGAAATTTTAAAAAAATCCAAAGTATATTTTATACAGCGTTTAGAACATTCATAAAATATTACATTTAGAAACAGTCAGTAACTGGAACAAAAAAGTTCATCCTGATCTGTATCTGTCTGCAGGCTCTGCCATATGTTGCTCTTCTGATAGCCATGTTGTTCTTCATATACGCTGTCATCGGCATGCAGGTCAGTGTTTTTGATTTTCCACTCAGTCTAACTTGTGTTGATTGAGGCTGCAGTTKCCCTCAGTTAATGTGAATTTCTTCTTTAGGTTTTTGGAAAGATTGCCATGGTTGATGGGTCACAGATCAACAGAAACAACAACTTCCAGACATTTCCCCAGGCGGTGCTTCTTCTTTTTAGGTTCGTAAAAGCCTTACTGTCCCGGTATGATCGAGAAACTTTACAGATATTTAGTTAATCTGTGGATCTGCACCCCAGGTGTGCCACAGGCGAGGCGTGGCAAGAGATCATGTTGGCCTGTATGCCAGGAAAACTGTGTGACCCAGAGTCTGACTACAACCCTGGGGAGGAGATGACCTGTGGGAGCGGATTTGCAATAATRTACTTTATCACCTTCTACATGCTCTGTGCTTTCTTGGTATGACTAAACAATGCAATAATGTTTTGGCTTACTTCTATTTCTGCTTAGCATTAGTCTGTATCTTTCTGATTTTTATAATTATCACATTTTATAATGTGTTCAATTCTGAGGGACTAAATAAATAATCCCAAGTATTTACAAGATAAAACCTGTTTAGACACAGACAATCTGGCTGTATTACATTATAACAATAATAATTCAATAAATGTGGTCGAAATTTAAAAGTATATAAACTTTAATAAATTTTGTTTTTTTTCTGTTCATTCAGATCATCAATTTGTTTGTGGCCGTCATTATGGACAACTTTGACTATCTGACACGTGATTGGTCCATTCTTGGTCCTCACCACCTCGATGAGTTCAAGAGAATTTGGTCGGAGTACGATCCTGAAGCAAAGTATGTGATTTTGTTATTTAAAGTTTGTGTTTATTTGAAATCCTGTTCAATTTACTAAACCTGCTATTTCTCTGATGTAGAGGCAGAATTAAACATCTGGATGTCGTGACTCTTCTACGTCGGATCCAGCCTCCTCTTGGTTTTGGCAAACTGTGTCCTCACAGAGTGGCCTGCAAGGTTTTCTTTTTGCTTTTGTTTTTATTTTATTTTATTTTTTTATTTAATCTGATTCTCAAACTTCAATTATAAAAATAACATACTGGTTATGTGAAGGTTCTGTTTCCTCCTTTCAGAGGCTGGTAGCCATGAACATGCCTCTGAACAGTGATGGGACCGTCATGTTTAACGCCACTTTGTTTGCTTTGGTGCGCACGGCTCTGAAAATTAAAACAGAAGGTATGCGCCAAACATGTAAATTCATCCTCAAGTTTACTATTTTTACTAAAAACCGCTTGGCTGTGGACCGGTGTTCTCAGGGTTACTTGTTTTCCTGTGGTTCAGGTAATCTGGAGCAGGCCAACGAAGAGCTGCGGGCTGTCATCAAAAAAATCTGGAAGAGAACCAGCATGAAGCTGCTGGATCAAGTGGTGCCCCCTGCTGGTGGTTAGTGGAACCACCTCATCTATTTTCATGCTTTTCATGTTTCAATGCACAAWTCAAGCTGCTTGCAGAAAAACACATATAAGCCGCTCACATTTAACATAATAGTTAAAGTGAAAAATACACTCAGACTCCTAAGGTAAAGCTGTTCCATGCTGTTTCTGCTCTGCTCATGTTCTCCTGGTTGTCCTCTCAGGGTGTCCTCTTTAATCTGTGTGTGTTTTGTCCACGCTCCTTCCTCCTGCCCTGGGTGCTGATGGAGACCACTGACTATCTGCTGGGCTTGCATGGCCTCGTAGACCACAGTGCATGTTGTTTTCACTAACATCTCTGTCCCCCTCTCTCTCTGCTGTCTCTCTCCTCTCTGACTCTGTAGTCCAGATGTTCTTGTCTCTTCTCACCGCTTGAGCTTTTACAGCTTACTGTCCTTACATATAAAAACTCTGAGGCACTTCAGAATATTCTGAAGCAGTTCTGTTTTAGGGTGGTGGCATGGAACTAGTGTTGCCTCTCTCTCGGTCTCTGTCCCCAGCGTGCTTGTTCAAAGTGATTCAGACCCCTGCTTCAGAATGATTCTTTCACACTTTCAAACAAACACAGACAGGATTTTCAAAACAGGGACACATCTATGCTGAAAACATAGCCTTAATTGTTAGGCGCAGAGATGACCGTGTGAGACTTTATGTACAGTAGAGCTGCATGTTTGCATGCGCCAAAGTAGAGCATTTAGTTTCATTTTTAAGCATTTATGAAAGAATTTGGTTCAAACACTGTCAAATAAATTATAAATAAACCAATAAGTGAAAAAGCTAAGCATGCAGATTTTCAGTCATACTTTCTAATCTTTGGATCATGGATGAGGAATTTCACAAATAGCAGCTTTTTACAACTTGAATAGGTGTTTGAACATTATTTCACTGGTTTCATACTAATTAAAAGTAAACGTACTTATTTTCCTCTAAAGGTCTGTACATACAGAAATAAATACACAAAGTGATGACATTTATGAGCTTTTTTTATCTATTACTGAAGCAGAATGCTTACACCAACAAGATGAAAGTTTGCATTCAGAAACACCTCACCTGTCCACCATCGTAAACCGATGGAGAACATTGTTTTGAGCAGAATGAACTTGGGGGGGGGGGGGGGGGGCGTCTCCTTCCTCCCAGGGTGCTGTGTGTGGTGACCTGCTGACACAGGAAGCATTTGTGTGGTCTGTTCACTCAGATGATGAGGTAACCGTGGGGAAGTTCTATGCCACCTTCCTGATACAGGACTACTTTAGGAAATTCAAGAAACGTAAAGAGGATGGCCTGGTGGGGGCTCACCCTTCCCAGAACAGCACAGCCATTGCCTTACAGGTGAGTACTGGGGCGCATCTGGCAGAAAGTTGTCTGCGTGTGTGAAAGAAGAGAGAGACTAATTTTGTGCGGGATGGTAGCTATAATCTTGTTAAGTCTGTAACATGTATTTGCACATTTCACTCAGATAACATCAGGTATGCTAATGTTATGGTTTATGATTCAGCAGGTTCATGATGTGGGTGTACAGTATGATTCTGTTACTGTGGTTTATATGTTCCCAATGTGTCTCCCTGTGACTTTAAATATCATACATGTTGATGTTAAGCATGTGTCACTGTCTCCATGTGTTTACAACTCACCTCTCATAAAATTCACACAGCTTGTGGCCATATTTGTTGACTTACAATATATGGCTACAGTATGTCATATATCATGCAGAAAACTGTCCATACCCAAAGTAAACACCGTCTAGTTCTTTTCATATTGTTATTATAGGTAGTTTTCTATCTGGAGAAAAGATGATTATTTAAGAGCAAAAACGTACTGGTTGCTACTCGAGACATACAGCTGCAGTCAGAAGTTTTTATACACTCGTCACAGGTGTGGATGTGATTTATTTTGGGGCTTTTATTGATTGATTTGAATCGTTCTTTTCCAGGAATACTACAACAACTTTAAAGATTTTTGAAAATACGAGCACGTTGTGTATTTTCTCTAATCCACACAGGGTCTAAATTATTTACACTCAAGCAGGAGTGGAGTCAGAGGCGTGGCCAGGGTGGGAAAGTGCCACCTCTGTCACCTGATTGGCCATCCCAGGTGCCACTCCAAATATTTGACAAGTGGATGGAGATCTTCAATTTTGTATTTACATACATGTCAACCTCTTCGGACGTTTACCTGTATAAAGAACCTCAAAAATCCGTAAATTTCGCAAGAATTCCGCACAACTTGCGGTGGGGGGGGCAGCGGCAGGGTTCTGTCTGTTGGCTGCGGACATGAAAGCGCCTGGAGGAAAGGAGAGCGGCAAAAGTTCAAAACTTATTTCTAGCAGCAGAACAGTTTGGAAGATGGCTGTTTGATGTTATTTATATTGTTTTGTTAAATCATGCTGCAGGCTCTGACATGTTAGATAAATTTGAAAATGAGGTTTTGAAAATATCCGTAAGACTTGGAAAAAATCCATGAGATTGCTCTATATGTCCGTATACCTGCAAAATGCCGTAAAATCCTTGTAATTTACGGACAATCCGTACAAGTTGACATGTATGTATTTACATTTAGATTTTGTTGAAGATTTTTCTCTAATACTTTTGTATTGTGTGATTTATTTAGCAGTGTATGTTTAAAAATGGCTGAATTATAGCCCTTTAATAAATTAGCATTAGTGATTAGCTTAATTTGTGGTTCAGCATGTGTAATCAGCGTTTGATCATTCTTTGTTACTCCATACCAAATTTCATCTCAAGAAGTCTTAAAATGACTAAATTATAGACATTTAAGTTAGCTGTGGTGGCCATCTTGAATTTTTGGTTAGCATTTAGATGTTTTGGCTGCTTCTACACTAATCACTAAGCATTTTTTTTTTGGATCATACTTGGCTACAATCACAAGAATTAGCTGTGGTGGCCATCTTGAATTCTTTATATGCCCCCCCCCCCCCAAAAAAAAACAAACACACAAACAGACAAAAAAAAAACCCACCTCAGAGCACAATGGACAAGCCAAATGCCTCGTGAGAACATACTCACTTGTCCACCTGCAGGAACCACCTGAGTACCATAAACAAAAGTCAGGTTTGTGTCAGAAAACGAACCATTTTCAATTAGCTCTTCTGCCACGAGGACTGGTCAAACACCCAGCCAGAGTTATGCCATAAATTTGTCAATAAATACAAGGTGTGATCAGTGTGCAACTTCCTAATCAACATTTAACCAAGTATTTTTTAGAGATGATATAAAATAAGTTCAAACTTATTAGAGTTAAATCATTCAGCTCTGAAAAAAATAAAGGTTTAGGTCAGTCATTTAAAGCCCCAAAATAAAACAACAGTGGTGTCCATAATGAGTGCATGTAAACATGTGACTGCAGTGAGTCAGCTAAATAACTGAGTCTTCAGAAGAACATGTGTCCGTCTCTTGTTTTCTCATCAAGTCTGTCAGTACTGTGAATGTCAGGTGTTGCACAGCTCAGGTGCGTGCATGTTTAGTGTGTGTGTGTGTGTGTGTGTGTGTGTGTGTGTGTGTG